ATTTGAAATGTACATTCACTACACTAACATTAGGGCTGTTCTAACCTAATTTTTTATTTATTTTTATTTTCATCTTAAAAGTTTGTAACAGTAAGTTTCTTTACTCTCAAAACACAATGAAATGAAAATTTTAAAATATTGAATAAGTATTTTACTGCTTGAAATTTTTAAAAATTACATAATTTTAACACTAAACTGAAGGAATATAATTAGCATTAATGAGAATGCTTAAATTTTAATATGAATAAAACAGTTCCTAGACATCATTTCTGTGTAAAGAAATAACTCTGTTTCCTGGTTAAAACAATACATTTTACGAATCTGAATTTGCAAAAAAAAAAAAATACTTATGAAATAAATAAATAAATATGCATATAGAGGTTCTAACCATCAAATGTAATCTAAAATTTTTTAAAATATATTAACGATCAGATATATCAATTAATGTTAGGACAAGTATTTAATTAACAAATATAGAAAAAAAAACCCATGAAAAATAACTAGCTTTCTTCAAAATACTCTTTCATATACATAGAATTGCCATTGATTTTAAAAAAATGGACACAGTGACTGCAGAGAGTTAAATTTTAACTTAACCCCTGAATGACCAGCAAATCATTCAGTATTTTCACTTTAACCCTCTAGTGTCCATACCTAAAACTCATTCACATTAGCAAAAAAGTAACAAAATCAATGAATTTTAATAATCTCATTAACCCATTCATACCTATCCATGCTGTAGTATACACACTGTATACATTTCAACCATGAAACTGGCTGAACACTTAACTCCATATTTCAGTCACACACAAGTCTAAAAAAAATTGCTATTGTAAGAAGAAAAAAGTTTCCATGATTAATCTAAAAGGTGTTTTAATATTTTTTATATTTAAAATATGTGCCATGCAATGATACTCTTAAGTGTAAGTACTTTGAGGTTGATATGACCTTAGTAACAGCACTACACGGTTGATACAACCTTAGTGCTAGTACTGTAGGTGATACAACCTTAGTGCTAGTACTGTAGGTGATACAACCTTAGTGTTAGTACTGTAGTTGATACAACCTTAGTGCTAGTACTGAAGTTGATACAACCTTAGTGCTAGTACTGTAGTTGATACAACCTTAGTGCTAGTACTGTAGGTGATACAACCTTAGTGCTAGTACTGTAGTTGATACAACCTTAGTGCTAGTACTTTAGTTGATACAACCTTAGTGCTAGTACTGTAGTTGATACAACCTTAGTGCTAGTACTGTAGTTGATACAACCTTAGTGCTAGTACTGTAGTTGATACAACCTTAGTGCTAGTACTGTAGTTGATACAACCTTAGTACCAGCACTACCCAGTTGATACAACCTTAGTGCTAGTACCTTAGTATCAGTACCACTTAGATAATACAACCTTAAACCTAATAATATAACAGTAACATAACCAGCTTACTCCTATGTGACTAATACACAATTGGCAGTTCTTTTGTAAAATATTAGTTTCGCTTCATTTCCAGTTAATATATCTACAAACAATAACTTAACATTTCACAATCAAATATATACTAATATGTAACATTATATATTACTCTTTAATTCATTCAGAACAAAGATATACAAAGAGTGGACAGAAAACTACTAAATGTAAACACTGGGAAGTTTAAAATATTTCTAAACATAAAAAAAAACTCTGTAGAGAATTGTGACTCTATAATGAGGTTGAGATAAATTAAATCTATAATTTTTATTATTTTTTTTTTTTACAAGGAAAGACAAAATTGCAACAAATGTAATTAACGGGGTTAGAAAGACCATCATTCCATTACAGCGCCAGATTATTCACTAGGCAGTTTCTGCATCTGCTTTTAAGTCCAATCATTTTTAGGGTTATTTAGTCTACATGTAGGCCTATTGTCCATGTTGCTGATTCATTAATTGTTTTACGAATCAAATCGCTAACCTGTTGCAGGCTTAAATTCTGCCTAATTGCCTAATCTAGAACCTGTTGCAGGCTTAAATTCTGCCTAATTGCCTAATCTAGCACGTCATGGCTATATAGTACTCGCCGAATTGTTTTGACTCAGAAGTTTTAAAACTTAAAAATTTGACTATGTTACAAAATTTTGAACAGAGTATACTTTAAACTGGGTTTCAGTGCTGAAGATTTCAATGAATCCGTCCAATCACAGACGACTTTTCTGTATTGAATGGATGCAGGATTAAAAAAAAAAAAATTCCTGAAGAAATAATTCTGTAAATTATAAAATATAGGCTACATAGGCAAACAAAATATAAACGGAGATATGTATCTATATCAACACTGATAGTCTTCATACAAGAACATCCCAAAATAATCATAAACTAATTAAAATATTCTTTTATTTTTTTAAATTGATTAGATAATTTATTACATAAAGTACTATAATAAATTCAGCATCTTATATAAAAAGGCATAGTAATATTATAATGTTTTGGAAATTATTCAGTATCAATCATCAAACACAAAATGGCCTGGTAAGGAAGGGATATTGGAATCAAATTGATAATAGAAAAAAAAACTATGAACATACAATTTCTTTACAGATTTTGGTAAAAAAATGTTACATTTTACGAGAAACAATTTCTTTTTAAAATATTTTATAACCCAAAAGTAAAGGTTTCTACAGTCTAAATATTACTTGTAAAAATAAAACTAGGTACTCATCTTGCAGGGTAAAATTATATGGAATGTGTAACAATTAAATGACAATCCCATTAATTAAGTGCAAGTACAAACTCTTTGCAAAAAGGAGACAGAAATTGCCCTGTTGAACAAAAAAAAATAATTAAAGCATTGATTAGTTTATTATGGCAGCAGACATAGTGAACTATCACAACCCATAAAATTGCTAGAAAATGTTAACGCTTTATAAATTATTTAAATATAAATAGTCAAAAATAAATTGGCTCAAATTCAGTTAGTAATTTTAAAAAAAATTTACATCCAAATCCTATTTAAATTTTAGAACTAAATTCAGCGGACTAAATTCATGTTATAGTTCTGTGAGGTAATAATTTTTATAAATTCCACACAAATAATTAGCAAACTAGGAAACATTGTTAATATTACTTTCATAGGAAAACTCTAGTAAAGTGCGTTATGCAAGTTAGAATTAAAAAAAACAATCTTGATAAGTGCCTGTACAAGGTTGAAACATTGAAAAGGTAAAAAAAAATACTAGAAAATTCTCATGTTTATATGATAGTATTATCTGATGAGACACCTAAATAACATAAAGCACAATTGTAGGTACTATCTATCAAAACACACATCTTGAAGAAATGTGGACAAGTTCCATTTTAAGCTTTGAAATTGTGCAGAGAAAGTTGCGCAGCTGGACATTTATTTTACAAAGTGAAAGTGTACAAAAGAAAAATAATTAGAGAACTTCATGAGGAGTGTGTATGAGAAACTGCATACAGAAACTATAGATTAATGAGTAATGTATTGCATTAATTTGTACGAGTAGAAAAATATGCAAGAACTGTGTCAGGCTATAAAACAATGTTACGTTGAACTCGACTAGTCCACCTTGATAGCACTACTATAGTTAGAAGTTACTTAAAATGTTTAAAAGCTGCATCTGTTCAACTAGTTGCCAAGCGAATAGTCTTTGTTTACTTTATTTAAAATAAAAAACTGAACTAAAATAATTTTAAGTAGATTTAACCTATCTTCTAAAAGAAAAACAAAAACAAAAAAACTTTCAAATTAGTACCACTTTAACCCATGAAAAATAAAGTTACGTTATTTAAAAAAATAAAATTAGTCATGCCAGAACAATATGATATATTAGACATTCTTGCATATTTCTGTATAGAGTTGAGACATTTAAATGAACACAGCGAATGAGGGAAAAGAAAGTTCAGGGAACATTTGAAGGAATCGTATAAAAAATAGCTACACGGGATGAAAATTCATTGTGTTGTTAAACAAATTTCAATGAACAAACGGCTACAAAAAGTATGCATATATTTGAAAAGGTAATACTTGAATAGTTAGTTATTTAAAATACTTGTTCATCCCAGACCAGGTGACGTGTTTTCAAATGTGCGGCTCAAGTGGTTTTCACTTTCATTGCACTTTATGTTAACAGTGGGATCTGATCCATTTTTAAACATCGCCAACACATAATTTTGTGTTCAAAATCAAATTGATTAACCTGGTGTTCAAAATCAAATCAGTTTAAGTGATTTATAAAAAAAAAAATCAGTAGCAATATTGTAGGAAGAGCTAATTATTATTCTTATTTTAAAAAAAACCTGTAAAATATGCTCATTTGATAAATGTTTAACGGTTTATTGAAATAAAATTAGCTTCATGGAAAATTTGTCTGAAAATCTCATACAAAATAGTCACAGTGTATTACAAGCTAGGAACATGTAAATAAGAAAATATAGAGTATTTGTAAGAAAATTTGCACATTTTGTGTCTTTAATTCACACTACAGATTGTGGGGGTGCTATATACACAATTTATTTAATAACATTGAAAAAATAGTTTTTAATTATGATCATACAGATCAAAAAGAAATGAAAATAAAACAGTAGGAAATGAAAATTCTTAAAATGTACACAAAGTTTTCTACAAAATGTTTTCAAATATTTTGTGGTAGATAATTAAAACTTGTCTATACCATAGATTAAGAATTTAAAAATTATACTGAGTATAATGTGAAAGGGTGGGCGAGATTTATAAAAGTGGATGGTTGATCAAAATACACTTTAATTTTACTGTTAAATTTGTGATTTAATGTGAAAAACTATTCATCTTGAAAAATTCAAGTAACAGTTACAACCAGTAAATATTAAGTTAGCGGGTGACATTTTAAAAAGTTTTTAAATTTGTAGGCTGTAACTTCAGGTTGAAAACACTTTTGATTATCTAAAGGATCACACAAAATATAAAAAAACCCCATTTTTTTTTACAACAAATTGTACAAGTTTAAATTTTAAGTACTTATTTTAATTTTTCTCTTCTTTAAAATGTTAAGATTTTTTCGACACAAAACTAATATGAAAAAAAAATTAGATTTAAGACTAATCGTATATGTGGAAAAATATGTAATCTATATCAAACTAAAATCAGCAGCTTTAGTCAGCCTATAAATGTTAATGAAAATAAAATAAATTTACTCCTGGCCTCAGAAAAGCAACCATTAAAAAAAACACTTCATCTTCCACAACGTATTCACTCATAGATTTACTAATAATTTATAATCTCCATCTGTGCATATGCATTACGTAATGTCAATAAACCTGTCTCGCATTCTAAATATTTTGTTGTCTCCGCTTTACACATTCATAAACTCTGTATCACAGGTCAGGAATTCTCATTTCTTCTTGCCGTCTTTTGACTTAGAAGATTTTGGTGTTTGCTTGCTTGAAGATGAAGTGGAGGATGAGGATGTTGATGAGGAAGATGGCGCTGGCGCTGCCGCTGCACCAGAAAGACCTCCACCAAGACCTCCCAGGAGTTTCTGAAATTCTGAAAGAACATGTTTTTTTTTGTTGAATATGTTGTTAAGAAGTATTGATAATTTGTATTGAAAGAGCATCTATGTAACATAGAAGCTTAAAGAGGCGCTAAATATCAAAACATGTACTTAACCAGTGACAGGACAGAGTGGTCTAGCGGTAGAGAGCTGGACTGCTAACCCATTAGTCTCAAGTTCAAATCCGGGTTCAAGTCAGTAGACCGTCTCTGAGTCCACCCAGCTCTGATGGGTACCTAACTCATGTTAGGGAAAGTAAAGGCGGCTGGGCATAGTGCCAACCACACTATCTGTTCAAATGCCGAGGTCACAGAAACAAGTGAGCTCTACTTCACTTGCCCTATAGACCATCAGGTTTGAAAGGGAACTTTACTTACTTAACCAGTGAGCTCACCACTCATACTATTCTTTGATATGCCATGTTCACCAAACAGATGAACTTTACTTATTGACAGCCATGTTTAAAAGGATGTCTTTGCATACTTTTTTTTCTCTTACTTTTATGTGATGTTAATATACACTTTAATGTAATCAACTGGTTTAAGTTTTTCTCTAAAGTTTAGACAAAAAATTAGTCACAGTGCTGTAGTACTTTCAAACATGAAGGTCCATAATGGCAGGTGAAGTAGAGTTCACCTGTTTCAGGAACCTCAGCAGATGAAGGGATAATGTCAGCTCTATACCTAGCTTCCTTTACTTTCCCTAACGTGGGTCAGGTGCAAATCAGAGATAGGTGAACTCAGGGTAATCCAAATGACAAAACCGGGATTCGAACTCGTGACTTTTGGGTTAACAGTCATATTCTCTACCGTTCAACCACACCATAAAATTTTAAAAATGGATGAAATTTCCGTACCATCATAATCAATCAACCCATCGCCATTCAGGTCTGCCAGCTGGAACATCTCCTTCACATCCTCCTCCTCCAGGTTCTCCCCCAACCTCTTCATGATGTACCGCAACTCATGCTGGTCAATGTACCCATTGCCATCCATGTCAAACACCTGGGGAACAAAATAAAATCAAAGTTAGACATTTGCAAACCAGCAACTCATGCTGGTCTATGTACCCATTGCCATCCATGTCAAACACCTGGGGAACAAATAAAATCAAAGTTAGACATTTGCAAGCTTATGAAAAAACTGGTCAATATACCCATTGCTATCCATATCAAAGACCTGGGAAACAAAATGGGGAAATCACATCAAAGTTAGACATTTGCAAGCTTATGAAAAAACTGGTCAATATACCCATTGCCAACCATATCAAACACCTGGGGAACAAAATGGGGGAAAAAAAATCAGACATTAGCAAACTTAACTAAAAACTGGTTAGTTTAAATATTTTGATTGATGGGAACGGAGTGTGATTGAGAGAAGGATGTTGAGATTGGAGACTCAGGTTCAAGTACTTCCTGAAGCTTCATCTCCACTAAAATTACCTTTGAACTTTTTTTTTTAGTTTTTGCAAGTTCCCTTTTACCATATATACTCAACTCAACAATCTATATATATAATTCTCTTCTGGGAGCCGTTAGAAAACAAGCTGCAAGTGCCTCCTTGCAGTCCCCGCTCTTTCTCTCTATCACTATCACTACCACCCCCACCCCACCCCACATTGTCTGGTGGGCTGTGGTCAAGCTAAATGTTTACAAAGCTAAATGTTTACAAATCATAAAGCCGTAGAGCCGGGTTTCTATTAGGGGCAGATAATTTAGTTCGATTTTAAACTTACAGGAGGTAACTAAGAAATAACTAAGAGGAGGCTGCTTTCACGGGGGGGGGGGGGGGGGGGGGGGTGTAGGGTCGGGGTTAGGGGAAAGGGGGGGGGGGGGGGGTAGTGTTTTAAAGCAAATATTTTCAGTGGCAGCATTGGTACTGTCGAATTCACAAATTATGAATTACTGAAAAGTAGAAAATAAAACAACTAAATAGCGGCTTATGATACGCTGCGGGTCGGCTCGTTCTATATAATCGACCAAAATACACCATAACACACACACCATTTCTGTTTGTGCCCAAAACACATGGGGCAGATGAAGTAGAGTTCATCTGCTTCAGAGACCTCGGATAGTTTGGTCAGCACTATGCCCAGCTGCCTTTGTTTCTCTAATGTAAGTTAGGTACCCATAAGAGCTGGGTGAACTCAGTAACATTCCATTGATATGAACTTGGATTCGAACTCGAGAGTCTCGGGTTAGCAGTCTAGCCCACCATAAAAATACACCGAACCAATGTTACAAAATATCAGAAAACCAAACAGGCCTAATTCTACCTTGAATGTTTCTTTGGTTTTATCCTCTGTTTTATCCACTTCCTCTGGCACATCCACCGCCTGTGTGGACCACCGCTTCATCAAAACAAGGAACTCATCATACTCCACGTAGCCGTTTTCTAGATGGAAGAAAATACAAGTGAGAATAGTTTTTAAAATTAGAATTCAACGTACTCCTTCTTCTTCGTTCTTAATTTTTAGTGTTGGGAGGGATCGAGCCTTTTCTGCCAGAGGGTTTGAACTCGAGACTTTTTTCGAATTTATCAACCATGAGCTTTGCCGACTCGACCATGCTTCCTTCACAATTAAGGATTACGTGTCAACTGGTTATGCGCCATTGAGGCCATTGACTCCGATTTCAGCCTGCTTTTCTTTTTGGATTTGCTTCCATAGCCTTTGTCCAACCAAGAACAAACTACAAGGCAGCAGTTGTTTGATTTTGGAGTTGTCTCTCCTAGAAGAGTGGCTGTCCCCAGCTAACGAGCCTCATCAGCCCGAGGGTTCGAACTCGAGACTTTTCGGTTAAGCAACCATGAGCTTTACCGACTCGAACACGCCGCCCCCACGTACTCCTTCCAAGTAGCAATTCTAGATTGAACAAGAAAATACAAGTGAAAATTATTTTTTTACAAATCGAAAACATACATCTGGCAAATGAATAAAACATATGGCATACAAATATATAAAAAAAATCTGGCACACAAAACAAAGTATTGAGCTTCCGTTGTTGATTTTAAACGAAATGTATCGAAGTTTACAGCACAGGCTGAATTTAAAGTAGGTCGGATTAGATTAGAGCAACGGTTAAGGAGGGGTCGGCTGCCAGTGAGACAGTGTAGGCAGGACATAAATTTTGTTTCAACCGATAGAGAATACGATTTAATCGTCGGTCAAATGCGAACCATCTGGACATCGAGAAACTGAAAATGCAATTTGTTTGTCAAGTTGTTTAAGTATCAAAGTGTTTTTTTTTAAAGACAAGCTGTTTTTATATAGAAACTAAGCCAAATAATAAAAACAACAAACATACACACAAAACAAGGAGAAAACGAGATTTGAATTAGAATTTCGGTTTTTATACATAAAACAAAATCTCTGCACCCCACCCACCCCCATCTGAGTTCTGACCTTTGATTTTTGTTTTTTGTTGCGCTTATTACAAACTTGGTTTTCCATACAGCGTCTCTTTGTTTACCATTTATGCTAATGGTTTTAATGTATATGATGTACTAAAACTATAGGGTATTGCCCGATTGTAAATTTATATCTTTCATAAGTTATAAATCAAGTGGAAAAAGCAGAATTTTTCAATACAATTAGTTCCATTTCATTTTGGTGTCACCGCCTTTGCTGCTATAACGCCCCCCCCGTCTTGTGAGCTATTGCTTCTAAGATACAATTACAATTTACCCCTAAGTCTATAGTTACCCTAGACCTAAGTATATTGACTTATGATTACAATTTACCCCTAAGTCTATAGTTACCCTGGGTCTAGGACATTACCCCCCCTCCCGTCATTCTCATTCCCCCCCCCCCCCCCCCCGGAGCAATTACCCCACCCCCTTCAAGAATCCTGACTCCAACTCTGTACCTATATATTAACTAAATCCTAATTTTAAGAAAAAGACCAAAACCTAAGCATTCACCTCAGCTTAAAACTTAACAAAAAACCAAACCCAACCCTAGACATTGGTTTGAGCCTAACCCTGACCCTAACACTAATCCTAACCCAAACCCTAACCTTAACCCTAACTGTAGCTTTAGCTATAACCGGGGGGGGGGGGAGTCGACAGGGGGGGTAATTGTGAATGTTACATGGATTCCATGGGTACCTACAACTATCATACGCTTTTTGTTTTCTACGACAAGAAACCAGTGGCGTCACTCGGTCGTGTGCCACTTGGTGCAGTCCGTACCCCCCCCCCCCCCCCGCCTCCATACTGACGTCACTGGATCCGGTCCCAACTTTTTATTTTAGTAGTTAATTGTAAAAAGTATCACACATGATATATTACCCTGAGTGAATAGGCTAACAAAATGACATACCATACGAATACCATTCATTCATTGATTGGAAAATGATGTAGGCTTGCGTAGGCGAACGTTCTGAGAACGGCGTGCTATTTTAGCTCAGGAAATGACGTACATATTGTGTGTACGCACACATTTATGTAACACCTTTACCTTTAATTTAGTTATACCTTTGTAGCAGTTATAGAATATTCACTGCAGCCAGTAAATTTCTGTTTTTTTGTGCGTGTGAAATGACGGGGGTGGGGGTGATGGGGTAGACGTTCTTCGGGGTGGGGGGCAGTTTCCCCCTAAAGAGATGCCTGAAGAAACTATGCCGCTTCCTTCCCTTAAAAATTTCACGTATATTTTTTAAACAGCTTTGTTTGTATATTGGGTTTGGGAATACAACTATATAACTACTAGATCTAATTGTCATTTTTAGTAGGTTGTGAGATGCATTACCAAGGACTAAATAGCTCTTAATGTCTTCGTGAATAGGATAACACTGGCGTACTATCATTCATTAAAAAAAATCAAAGCAAAAAGTAAAAGTTCTAAGAGCAATGAGCTATTTTTAGCGCAGGAAATGACGAAATGGCGCATTTTTTTTTGTTTTATGAACGTGTTAACCACGCATTTAATGGCGGGAAAATCTTCATGTGTTTTGAAGATGGCGACAATTTGGTGCCGGTATAAGGGAAGCAACACAAGATGTATGGTTTACAACACAGACTAAGGAAATGTTTTGCTCAATGAGTAAAAATAAACCACGCGCTGCACACTGGGGGAGGGGCGGGAAGGTGTTAGAGAGGGGAAATAACAACAAGGGGCGCATAACCCGAGGATCACGTTACGTCATGCAATAAGCGAAGTGTTGATTGTGTATAAAATTACCATCTGTGCCGGGTTCTATGTTTTTGCACCATCTCTACAGTTCCAGTGGGGGTGTGGGGGGGTGTGGAGGGATAACTTTAAGTCGCAATAGAGATTTAGATACCGTGCATTCAGTTGTTTGGTATCACAATATTAATTACAAAAATCTTAACCTTTTATAATTTTTCTTTAAACCTCTAAACGTAACACACAAATCACCTTTGTGCAGTGTTTCTTCCAGACTTTTTCTCCGGGGTGCATTTGATATTTTCGGGGGGGGGGGGGGTCTTCATTCTCCGGGGGGGGGGGGCGGACACTAGTAAAAGTATATGTTTACTATATAAATTCCATCTCGGTCGGGGGGGGGGGGGGAGGAGGGGGGGGGGGCGGTACACTTTCTTCGGGAGGCTCTGCCCCCCCCCCCCGAAGAGATGTCTGGAAGAAACTCTGCCTTTGTGCTGGTATCCCCACCCAAATAATATCCCTATTTCTATCCTGATCCCCACACAGAGTTTCTATCAGGCATCTCTTCGGGGATGTAGCATGTTTTCTCTATCATTAACAGGTTTACGTCATGGTGTCACCCCCCCACTTGCCCTATCTATATCCTTATCCCTAAAACAAACAGCTTTATCTCTATCCTTATCCCTACCTAAACATAATTCTCAGCCTAACTCTTATCAAATCCTAATCAGACCTAATCTTAATCGATACTGAAAGAATTACTAAATTGAACTTCTGCAACCCGAACTACCGAAAACATTTGTCAACTCTTTGTATAATGGAGATCTTCATTTGTAATGTTCGCGACACTTTGATTTTCTAATCTAGCTAACAGAAGAGTTCGCATCTATTACTGTCAATGTCCAAGACAATCGCGACAGATGTAGTAGAGTTTATCAGTTTTAAGTACCACGGCGTATAGAGGGATAGTGAAATCAGTACTATGCCCAGCTGCCTTAGTCTTCCCCAACTTAAGTGAGGTATCGAATAGAGATGCGTAGACTCATGGACGTCCTATGGAGACGAGTCCAGATCCGAACTCGAGACGCTCGGTATAACAGTCATACGCTCTACCATCCGACCAGGTCGTCACATGTAGATCATATTCCTTTATAACCCAATTCATAGACGTAGATCATTTCACTTTCTAACCTAACTCACCAAAAGTAAACAAAAACAAAATGACTCACCATTAATATCTGCATGTTTGATCATGTCCTCTATCTCAATCTGTGAGTACTCATGTCCTAAAGTCCTCAGCACACATCCCAGCTCGTCACACGAGATTTTCCCGTCGTTATTTTTATCAAACATATCAAAAGCTTGCTTCATTTCTGTCAACAACAAAACAAAAAGCTATATAATGTTTAATTTATACGAGATATTTTGTCGTTATTTTTATCAAACATATCAAAAGCTTGCTTCATTTCTGTCGAAAACAAAACAAAAAGATAAAGACTCTTTATACTAGATCTAAATAAAATAATGTTTTTTTTACATCGAACTAACAGATAAGTGACATGCGAATCACTGGACATTGTATTCAACTGTTCGAACACAATAAACCCTACCGCCACACGTAACAAAATAATTTGGCCAGCCACCACACAATAAAATTAAAAATTACTTTAAAAAATGCCCCCTCTCTCTCCTAAAATAAAAAAAAACGGTTTTCATAACTTGAAGATTTACAATTGGAAACTTAGTCACAAATTAAAAAAAAAAACCACCACTTCACACTTGGTTTATCATCCCCCTCCACCCTAGAGGCGTAGCGAGGGGGGGGGGGGGCGGGTGGACATATGTCCCCGGGCGCCGACCTTAGGGGGGGGGGGCGCCAAACTGAAAGTTTGAGGGGGGGGGGGTGCAAATCGAAAATTTGCTCCCTAGGGGGGCGCCAAATTGAAAGTATGTCCCCGGGCGCCGGGAAGGGTCGCTACGCCTCTGCTCCACCCCTTCCTTTGGATGCGTGCGCATTACGTGTCATTATGATCCAAACTTTAAAACTAAACCCAACATTAACTTTAACGTGAAACTAAAGGAATAATAGTTCTTTTAACATTAGAGACAGCTTGATACAGTAGTTGACAGAGTTTGTATTTAAATGACGGTATTGCCCCCTAGTGACCGGGTTAGGATTACGGGTCAGGGTTAGGATTAAGGGTCAAGGTTAGGATTACCGGTGAGGGTTCGGCTATGGTTAGGCTTAGTATTTCGGGTCAGGTTTAAGATTAAGGGTCAAGGTTAGAATTACGAGCCAGAGTTTGGTTTAGGGATATGTAAAGATTAAAGCAGCAATGCTAGCAAACTCAAAAATTGACAGTCGTGTTTAGTTACGTATTGTTAAGTAAAAAAAAAATCAATACAGATACAATATGATACATGTGTTTAATATAGACATTAGTGGTACCCACTTATACAGATCTGTGACCCCCAGGGGGTCAGTAGGTGGGTGGTGGAGGGATCGTTCACTAATAAACCGAACACAGACGAGTTCCGCAGCAGAAGGCAGAGCTCACAGCGCGCACGTGCCCAGGTGAGTACATGATGAAGGGTGAGCAGTCCAAATGTCACTGCCCGATATAGCCTTGAGCGCCGAGTGTTTGTAATTTACTACCCCCTCGTCTAAACAAAAACTACCCCCCCCCCTCCACCCACCCACACCTCATCCACAATTTCCACCATCCTATTTTAAAAAAAAAATAAAGCCACAACTTTTGTAACCTTAAATGATCTGTTGGTTCACGTTGCCATGGTAATGTTTTGTCTAGATTTTACATGAATTAACAGCAATGCTGGTACTGGTACGCATGGATGGGAGTTGGGGGGGGGGGGGGGGCAGCCACTAAAGATTTATATTTTCTATATACATTTTCGGCGGCTGAGGAGGGCGGTAGGCGGTCTTTTTTGGGGGGGGGGGGGGGGGGGGGGGGAAGAGGTGCGTGTGGCGCAGGCCCTCCGAAGAATGTCTACCGCCCCCCCCCCTGTACGAAATGTAATTTATATAGAAAATATATACTTTTACCAGTGCCCCCCCCCCAGAAGAGAAGTCTGAAAGAAACACTAGGTTTATTAAATAAAGATATTTATTTTAAAAATGAAAAGCAAATAGCCCACCGTTTTTTTTTCAAGAGGCCCACAGGTATGTTTCCAGGTCAGCCGGCCCACAGGTATGTTTCCAGGTGGGCCGGCATCCCAGCCCACCCCTGTAGGTACCCTATATATATATATGCTAGACTACTCTTCGACAAAAATGAATTCAGCTCTTGTCGGTTTAAACTTTAAACAATACAAATTCGCATAACTAGAAATCGCCTACAACGAAAACCCATTCGCGAATGTACAACTAAATCATCGTTATTAAAATATCTTTATCGGAAATTTCCGCTATACTTCAAAGATGGTACAGCGAATCAATAAGATCCTATTAGTGTTTGTACTTCAATGATCAGGGTTCGAAGTCTGACGGAGCAGGAAATGAAATTTTTACACTGGAAATGATATTTTAAAATTATCTTCAGGCCGACTAGCGGAAAATTGTTTATGATACCTTAAGCTTTTTTTTTTTTAATTTTGGTTAATATTGTAAGTTATACTTCGCGGAGTATTTTAATTTCAGTGTAAAAATCTTTACTTCCAAGAAATCCATTTTATAGCTAAAAAAAATACTTAATCACGGCGTATTTGTTTTTAGCAGACACATCTAAATTCTCGAGTTAACTCGCAACTTAAGAAAGGTTCCTCTAAAGTCGACAATGGTAATCAAGAGTTTACATATACAAAATCCTCAGTGGTCAAAGTCCATTTCAGCGAAAGTACGGCTTAAACCAGCAGATAAAGGGACGTTGTCACCTACTGTCCATTCATTTAGCCGGGATTTATTTCCCTTGCGTGACAAGTGTGTCAATGAGGAGACGGGGTTGCGTGTGTTGGCAGTAATTTCACCAAGATAACTCGCAAACATGCGCAGACGGGCTCATTTTTTTTTTATCCAATCACTGATCAGTATGATAAACTGTCCTGATTTCATTCATTGTGACGAATGAGGCGAAACGCCATCTGCCATTATGCCCCATCAAATTCCACAATCCGTATAACTATATAAACCTTTGTGATACATTCTAAGCCTATCTTATATGGTTGACTAGTCCCACATCATCATAGTTTGAATACATTAAGTTAAATTAACCCTAATATAGAGTTTAACGCTGAGAATTATCTTTATTCTTAGCCATTCAATTACTGGATACTGGATAATGCTTTAATGGCATGTTGACCCGGATGTTTAATGTTGACATGGATTCAAAACGTCTATTTATAGGTTTAAATAAAAAGAAAAAAAACCAACAAAAGAAATAAAAATAAGCTAAAATTTTGGAAAAAATTATGTTTCAAAAAATCAAGAAAGACAATTTGATATGGAAAGAACTGCATTTTTATCGCCTTAAATGGTACAATTCTTTTTGCTATATCGGCCCGCCATTATAACCCGAGGTTCACTTTAGTAAGACAAACTGTACATTTTTTTTCAGTAGCCAACTTCCAGCTAATACTTTCAAACAACTTGTATATTTTAAGTCCGCATGATCCAGTTAAAAGAAGGAAAATATTAAAATTTGACTTCAATAGGCGTGGAAAGGTGGCACGGAGGGGTAGGGGGTGTTTGGGGGGTGGTGGAAAATAACCTAGTGCATGTACAGTAACCAATGGAAATAGCAAGGATGCGGCGCTTGTGAAAAGAAAAATGCCCGATACTAGAGGCGTAGCGAGGGGGGACGGGACATATGTCCCCGGGCGCCGACCTTAGGGGGGGGGCGCCTATATGGGTTGGAAAAACAAATTGAAAGTTTGAGGGGGGGGTCAAATGAAAAGTTCGAGGGGGGGGGGTGCAAATCGAATCGAAAGTTTGAGGGGGGTGCAAGTCGAAAGTTCGAGGGGGGGGGGGGGGGGGGTTGCAAATCGAAATTTTGTCCCCTGCGCCGGGAATGGTCGCTACGCCTCTGCCCCATACTCTACCAAATAAGGGTCCACCATACTTATGATTACTATGTCAAACAAGTACATTCGAAAGCCGGCAAAAAAAAATAAAATAAAATAAAATCGGCTAGGCCAAGTCCATTCACATAGGCCACAGAAACAGATCAAATCTACTCCACCTGCCCCGATTAAACCTATCAACCCATTCCCCAACTACGAACCACCAATTCTTAAAGGTTAGCCCGAGTCAGACTGAATTAAAAATAAACCCCGCCGTGAACTGTTCTGACCCGATTGGTATGCCATAAATCACAGAGTACAGTCTAGTCTGGCGCGAACTCCATAGACGTCATTACCTCCCGAGATCCTTCCAACGTCATAGGAGGTTTGATGCAGCGCGGTGCACCCCCCCCCCCCTTGTTTTTACACGGCAGTATGCTAAAGTGGCATAAGGTTTATAGAAAATAATTTTTCAGAGACGGTTTTGTTGACACAAGGCAAGGGTACGAGTTCCCTACCCTCTCACATACACATAATAAAGGCATGAGTTCCCTACCCACTTACATACACATATCAAAAGGGATGTATTCCCTCCTCTCACATACACAAAATAAAGGCATGAGTTCTCTAGCCTCACATACGCATTACAAAGGCATGTATTCCCGTCTCACATACACATAAGACATGAGTTCCCTCTCACATACACATAATAAATGGTCTCCCCTCACACATTATACACACTAACAAAACCCCTATACACACAAGTTATTAAAAAAGACGACAGAAATCTCCATCCTCTGAAAATAATCAGAACGCTAACTAGAACTATCATACATTGACATTTGTTTTCTGATGGAAGATACGAATTGTATTCAGAAATTCTTTCAGGGATATCTGAAATTCTTTCAGGCATCTCTTCGTGAAAAGGTGTGTGTGTGGGGGGATACTATTTACATAGATTATATATACTTTAACCAGTATCCCCCCCCCCCCCCGGAAATTTAAATGCGCCCCTACCCGAAAGAACAACGCCTGAAAGAAACACTAATTGTGTTCATTGTCCTTTTATAAAACACTTTACCCCACTTGCCTCCATCTCAATCACTCTCGTCCGAATATACAAACATCTACAAGCTAAACGATCTCTAGGGTCGTTAGAAATCTCAGCACCCCCCCATCCCCAACTTCCCGCCTCTTATGTAAACACACCAACTCCTGTGGGAGGGGGGTGTAGTAAATCTCCCGCCCCTCTCGTGAGTATGGATAAATAATCCACAAACAAGCACCCAACAGGACGATGGATCCATCTTCCACTAAGTGAGTTATTCATGGACGTGGTCTCGCCGGACCACGCCAC